AGGAAAAACAAGCAGATTCCTCCTCTATTTACAAACTCCTGGGGATGCAACAAGTGGGCGCGGTGCGTCGACTACCGGATCTGACGTTGACTACATTTTAGAATCGAGCCGTCGACGTCATTGACGCTTCGCTACAGCTCTACTGTCCTGATGATGATTCATCTCAGTGCAGCTGTTGATACTGAGGACCACAACATCCTTCTTGATAGGCTCTTAACCTGGGTGGGACTACAGGTACAGTCCATAGTTGGTTCTGATTTTATCTTGAAAACAGGGGTTATGTTTTTTCTATTGGTGATCACAAATCAAAGCTGATCAGCATGACATGTGGGGTCCCCCAAGGCTCAGTTCTTGGACCACTGCTCTTCAACCTCTACATGTTCCCCCTTGGTCCACCCCATTAGCAAACAGAACTGATGTCTCAATGCTGGAGACAAGCCTTACAGATTTACTCTCAGGTGGAGCATCAAAGCTTCTGCTTTAATGTTACGCCTGATACTTAAAACTTTATTGTTATTGCTTTTGGATGCTTTATAATTCCGACCAGGCACGGAGACAGAGGTGAGACAGCGGGTGACTGATGGGTGGGAAAAGTTGGGGGACTGAGAGCGGGCGACCAGGGTAGAGCAGTGAGACGTGATTTGAAGATCCAGGGTTGGAGGTAGAAATTAGGACCTGAGCAGAGCGGAAAACACCAGGTTCAGTCTCAACAGACAGATTACTAGTCAGGTTCAGACTGGTGGTCGGATCTACCCAAACTGAGTAATCAACCGGCGTAGAGTGGTGTCGCGCTGCTCCTTAAGTACCTGGTGCTGTCAGGAACCGAGTTCAGAAGACCCGTGAAGACGCCAACACAGTAAAAATATATTAAAAAGTCTTTATTTAATGCAGAGGTACCTGGAGGGCAAGGCTGAGGCAGGTTCAGAGGCAGGCTAAGGTCAAAGTGGCAGGCAGAGAGCAAGGCAGGGGTCAGGCAAAAAACAAGGTCCAGAGGCAAAGATCAGGCAGGGTGGATGGCTGGAGAACTACTGGCAAGGCTGTAATAATCTGGCATCTGTTGACTGGATGGCTGGTTCTTTTATAGCAGGGGAAGCAGGTGAATGGGATGAGGCTGATTACAGGAGCAGGTGGAATGAATGGAGCTGATTGAAGCTGACAGGTTGCTGGGGAAAGCAGGGCTTGGCTGGAGCTTGGTGAGAGGAACCAGGTGAGCTGAATGAAGGTATAATGAGGAAGTGGAGGAGGGTGAAGGATGGGAGTCATGACAGGTGCTGGGGAATCTCAGCCATACCCACCTCCAGACACAACTCAGGAGACTTACCCAGACTGTGACACATCCCGACTTAATAATTATTTGGTTTCCTCCTCCCTATTTTTATCGGTGGAAGTTTATTCAGTGGCGTTTGTCCCTTGTACGCTAAAATAACCACCTTTTGTTGATTAAACCTTTGGAACAGCCATTAGAGAACGTCATTCCTTCCATTTAACACCATTTTATCCAGACACCATATCTCATGTTCATTCTTTTTCTTTTATACTATTTTATGTACCTGTGGTAACTCCTAGACAGCAGGAGGGAATGTCACACTGACCACAACTCACAACCAGATATGGGACCTGAAGAAGTCTCCAGGACAGGGCTCTTCCATTCGGGGCCTGGAGGGCCGGTATCCAGCACGTTTTAGTGGTTTCTCTGCTCCAACACGCTTGATTAAGTGGTTGAGTCACCTGTGCAGCAGCTCACCAGGCTCTAAAGAAGTTTGTTAATTACCTCGTCGTCATAGTCTTCCTCCGCTAATCCGGGTCCGGGTCGCGGGGGCAGCATCCCAACTAAGGAGCTCCAGACCGTCCTCTCCCCGGCCACCTCCACCAGCTCCTCCGGCAGGACCCCAAGGCGTTCCCAGACCAGATTGGAGATGTAACCTCTCCAATGTGTCCTGGGTCGACCCGGGGGCCTCCTGCCGGCAGGACATGCCCGAAACACCTCCCCAGGGAGGTGTCCAGGAGGCATCCTGACCAGATGCCCAAACCACCTCAACTGACTCCTTTCGATCCGGAGGAGCAGCGGTTCTACTCCGAGTCCCTCCCGAATGTCCGAGCTCCTCACCCTATCTCTAAGGCTGAGCCCGGCCACCCTACGGAGGAAACTCATTTCGGCCGCTTGTATCCACGATCTCGTTCTTTCGGTCATTACCTAAAGCTCATGACCATAAGTGAGGATTGGGACGTAGATCGACCGGTAAATCGAGAGCCTGGCTTTCTGGCTCAGCTCCCTCTTCACCACGACAGATCGGCTCAGTGTCCGCATCACTGCAGACGCCGAACCAATCCGCCTGTCGATCTCCCGATCCCTCCTACCCTCACTCGTGAACAAGACCCTGAGATACTTAAACTCCTCCACTTGAGGTAGGACCTCTCCACCGACCCGGAGTTGGCAAGCCACCCTTTTCCGGTCGAGAACCATGGTCTCAGATTTGGAGGTGCTGATCCTGATCCTAGCCGCTTCACACTCGGCCGCGGACCTACCCAGCAAGAGCTGAAGGTCAGAGCTGGATGAAGCTAGGAGGACCACATCATCCGCAAAAAACAGAGACGAGATTCTCCTGCCACCAAACTCGGCACACTCCACACCACGGCTGCACCTAGAAATTCTGTCCATAAAGGTAATGAACAGAACCGGTGACAAAGGGCAGCCCTGGCGGAGTCCAATCCTCACCGGGAACAGGTCCGACTTACTCACCCCATACTCCTAGAGTGCCCCCCACAGGGTGCCCCTGGGGACACGGTCATTAGCCTTCTCCAAATCCACAAAACACATGTGGATTGGTTGGGCAAACCCCCATGCCCCCTCCATCACCCTTGCAAGGGTATAGAGCTGGTCCACAGTACTAGGCAGCAGTAGCTTAACAGGTTGAGTGGGTTGTCCAGTAATCGGAAGGTTGCAGGTTTGATCCCGGCTCCGGACAGAGAATTATGCTGCTGTGTCCTTGGGCCAGACACTTAACCCACCTTGCCTGCTGGTGGTGGTCGGAGGGACCGGTGGTGCCTGTGTCAGTGTGCCCCAGGGCAGCTGTGGCTACATCGTAGCTCATCACCACCAGTGTGTGAATGTGTGTGTGAATGGATGAATGATAGTCCTTACTCTGAGAGGCGCTATACAAGTGCGGGTCATTTACTCAACATGTGCCTCTGAAGTCTGTTTTCCGCAAGCTCTTCCTCAGGTTCCTTGGTCCCTATGAGATCTTGGAGGTATTCAGTCTGGTCTCGGCCTGTCTCCGCCTCCCCCTGGTCTCAGGATCCATCCTACCTTTCATGTTTCTCAGATCAAGCCTGTCCGCCTTTTTTCTTACTGATCTAATTGTCTTCCAAGAGTTTCATATGCGTGTGGGTCAAATTCCTTCCAAAACCATGACAGACGGGTTGGTTAGTGTCTGAAGTTGTTGCAGGTTAAAACCAAGAACGGTTGTTTGGTTTTGAAAAAAGGGGGGTTCTACCCCACTAAAAGCTTTTAAGGTCTGTGTTGGATCAATCAGAAACCAGGAAAAATGTCAGAGGCGTCGTCATATTCCTCTGCCCCACATCGTTCCTGAGAGACGTCTATTTCACTCACTATGTGGTCTAAGTGTGATATAACTGTACTTGTTCATATGCTGACATTAAAATGTGACATGACCGATAATAAAAGCATCATAACTCATCAAGTAGATTCGTTTGGTGTGTTTAAGATCTGAAATGATGCATTTCAACAATAAACGGTTGTTTTGATTCATTACTTTCAAGCAATCAAGTCTTTTTAAATGGACTTTGGATAAAACCTTCATTGTTCTATGATTGTAATTAATGAGTAAAGTAAGAACACATTTGTGTAGAAAGCATATGATTCTGCTATCACAGGTAAGAGTCCTGTCTTCTCCTGGAGACGTCGTGCAACATGCAGCAGAGACAGGGAAGCAGGAGAGGAACTTTGTAATGGCCGTTCTCCAGGTGGAGAGGATGGCTTATGGAGAGATGGTCCTAAACAGCATTTGTTTGGTTTGGAGAGCTTCTGTTTCTCAGGCAAATGAAGATGGCTGGACCATGTAACACCTGATGACCTTTGGCATCACGTGCCTTTCTTAACGCTACAGGGTTCATTGTGTTGCTCGAGATCACAGACTAGGTGGAGAAGTCGGGAACAAGCCAAATCTTTTATAAATAGTTACTGACCCAGCTCCATCACAGCAGAACAAGAACCATCCTGCATACCTCCATGAGATGTGATGCTGATGTCATGGTTAGACAGTCTAACTCCACCGGCACTTCCTGTCTGAGGAATAGGAGGAGCTGCCTGCCAAGAGGACAGTGACACAGACTACATCACCACACCATTGTTTGTCAAAAAATCAAGCTGCTAACACACACACACACACACACTGCTCAGATTCAGAAACAGCAATATGCTTCCTAGTCTGGAGGATTTTTCTTAACCTCCTTGGACTGAGCGAGCTTTTCAGAGGCGTGGCCACGACTCACACAGTGCGGTGAATGTGACGTGTGCACCACCTAATGTCACAAATCACTGCTTAGCCAATAGCATTGGCTGATTCCATTTCACTGTAGTGCAGGCCTTTAACCTGAAGGGGGCACCCCACTGACAGTTATGTTTTCATTTTAAATAAGATGCAGTAAAATGTCAAAGTGAAGTCTACAGCACTGTTGGACACTCATTTATACAGGTTATCAGCAAATACAGGTGGTCAGAGGCACGTTGCTCTTTAAAACTCAACATTTCAGCCTGACTGTTGCAAGACCTTCGACTGATCCTTCATCACTGCCCTCTCTTTATTCCGCCTTTCCCAGGATCCACTGACGTCCTCTTTCTTGTTCATTTTTTTACTCATTTTTATGATATTTTTGAATCATGTTTGAATCGTTTTTATTATTTATTTATTTATGCCTCGTGATTTTTATTTTAGGGACACTAAATAAAAGATTGCTTCTTCTTCTTCTAATGCTTTCAGTGCTACCTGCAGAAGCGAAGAAGTGATTTCACTAAGCTGTGGAAACAAACGTGAGTTTGTGTTTCATTAGTTTTTCTAGCTTTTCAACTTGAAAACAGTATTGATTTGTTTATTGAATTTTTATTGTTTAATGAATTTCTGTTTTTAGCATGTGGAGTACGTCTGGTCACTGATGTCATGAAAGATTTGGACAAATCAGAGGGCACCGGAGCCACAGATGGTGAGAACCTGTAATGTCTCATAAGTGGTTACTTTTAATAAATTATCAATAGAATCTAAAGGTGTTCAATAAAATGTAATATTCCATAAGAATATGGATTATCAATATTATTGAACCTTTAATATCCGATTGATGATGAAACTAGGTACTCTGGGTACTTTAGGTACTATAATGATTATGCGAGATAATACTTTTTAAATGGTGACTCAAAGTGAAAACAGTTGAGAGAATGAATGAATGAACTCTGATGAAACCAGACTAGTTCTCTGTGCAGAGTTAAACAGATAGTCTGACAGGCCAGTGTAGGTATGTATCCCCCATATTCGTCCACCTTGCGCTCTTTGGAGCATTCTCAAAGAAATCCATTCCACTAAGTCAGTCTGCTGAAGTCCGTTCCATGTTTTCCTGGTTGCTCTGCTCTGGTGGATGGCTGGGGCTGTCAGGGTTAAAAAGACCAAAGTGAAACTTCAGTGCAGGCTTGTGAAGCTCCATGTCTGACCCCCCAGACATCAGGAGATATCTCACTGAGACTCATAAAATACGTTAAAAGGTTTTAGTGGAGTTAGCTGGTCAGTGTTCGTCATCTGCGAGGCTCTCTGGCCGGCTAAAGAGCACACAGCAGGAAAATGTTTTCTAATTCATGTAAAATGCTGTCCAAAAACACCATTAGAAAAGCTTATTGTGGATATACATAACAGCAGAGTTTTCTAGTAAAAGGTGGCCTTTCTCTCGTTTCTGAATCTGAACCTCTGATGCAACCAAAGTCAAATTAATTAACCCTCCCACCGTCCTGATGGGTGTGACCCTGCATGGAAAGTGTACCATTGAGCAGGGCTCATGGTTTATCCCTTGGGTCCATGTGGCAGGGGTGAGGAGTGAGCACCACCTCACCCCTGCCATGTGGACCTCTAGGGGAAAACCATCAATCCTACTGAATGGTCAACTTTGCTTGTGGGGTCACCCATAAAGACAGTGGGAGGGTTAATTAAATCAAATTAATTAAAACATAAAAAGAATTTAGAAAATGATTAAAAATATGTTTTAAATTAGCTAGAAATATACAGTTGTGATCAAAAAATGTAAAGAGAGAGTGAATAGGAAAGAGGGAAATCAGTGGATCCTGAGGACAACACAGTTCCTTGTGCCCATGCCGACACTGTTCCACCGTCTGCTCGGCTTACTGCTGGTGTCTGTTAATGGCCGTCACTTCCTGCAGTAAGGCATTTTGCTTCACTTGCTGTTTTTACTGTAGCTGTTCTGAATTTTTGGCTCGCTAAAATAGATCTGATTTCTCTGGACTGGGACATTTCTGAGCTAGTGTAGCCAACATCAGCCTTCCCCGTCGTGAGTCAAGCGACTTACAAGTCAACAAGTTGCCACTGAGACTTGTGACAAACTAACCCGTTTTATCACTTAATTCAACAAATCAGCTGTGTTCATGATCTACAACATGGAGGAAACATGCTGGAAGCAGACTGCAGCACTGGCATGTCAGCTCCCCCAACGAAGTCCACCAGGGCCTGGACCGGCAGCGTGCGATTTTCTGGCCACAGACGGCGGGGTCTGAGTGACTTTATTAACCCTGAACTGACTCAAGAAAACGATTTTAAATATGAAAAAGTTGCATAATTCCTTTTAAAAATCACAAGACAAAGCATTATGAGCAAACTTGGTGTTGGTAAAGAATGTGCTCAACAGTGTTACGGTTGCTAGGCAACAAGACATACACCAAAGTAACGGCAGGAACAAATAAAGCGCCAAATCCTGACGAGTCATCTCGAGGACCTTCACTCAGTATCTGGTGTCTACACAGATAGGGGTGGCTGGGTGCTTCGAAGGATGTTGCCCCTGAGTTTGGACAAAGACTCTGACTTTGGTTTGTTTGTTTCAAGGTAAAGTGGTAGGCGGAGTCAACTCTGAGAAAGGGGCGTGGCCTTGGATGGCATCTCTCCATTGGAGGGGGCGCCATGTTTGTGGAGCCTCATTGATCGACAACGATTGGCTGTTGACAGCTGCACACTGTGTCTATGGGTGAGTAATATTTAGAATCTGGAGCATGTATAGCGTTTTATAGCACTGGACAGTGATTAATTAGTCATAGTTACAAATTACTTTAAGTTACGGAGTTACTACAGTAAGTAACTAATTAACAGGAAAAGTAACTAATGCATTACTTAACAATATGCAAAAAAATGGAATCTCCTCTTAAAGGTAACACACACACTTAAAACTGCTGGGTTAAAAATAACCCAGCAGTTTTAAGTGTGTATGTAAGAATTGAGTAACAGTGACAGCCTGTGGTCAGATTTGGTTACTGCAGTTTTTGGGTTGCCATGTAGTGATGGGAAAATAAAGTTTATGTTCTACCATGAAATACTATCTGTGTTTTAACAATTATGAACTACTTAAGAAACACAAAATAGTACACCATAGCAAGCTTATTTCTAAACACATTATCAAACAACATTACAGCTGACCAAAGTGATGAACAACGATACAACGATGAAAAAAAAGAACAGTATAAAAAAATCAAACAGTGAGATACAATTATAAAATCAGTGTTCAAAAGCAAGATAATATATTATTATAATATATAACATAGTAGTATATGATATAGTGGTATATATAGTATATCATATATATAGTGTGCTACTACTAGTTTACCCATTTAATTATAGATTCACTAGGATAATTACAATAAAGTTTATCTCTCACCAAATAGAATATTTATTAAGAAATCACAATGTAACCATAGAAACACCACTTTGTGTGTGTGTGTGTGTGTGTGTGTGTGTGTGTGTGTGTGTGTGTGTGTGTGTGTGTGTGTGTGTGTGTGTGTGTGTGTGTGTGTGTGTGTGTGTGTGTGTGTGTGTGTGCTCTGTCTTCTCGATCCCCAGTGAGTCGTGGAGGATGGCTGCTTATACTGAGCCAGGATCCTCTGGAGGTTTCTTCCTGTTAAAAGGGAGTTTTCCTCTCCACTGTCGCTGCATGCTTGCTTAGTATGAGGATTGCTGTAAAGACTCTGACACTAGTCAGTGACTTGATATAATCTGCTGAGTTCCTTTTATAGGAAACTTGTTACTGATTGGCTAAATGACCTGACCTGTACTGGACTGTGTGAAGGTCCTTGAGACGACTCTGGTCCTGATTTGGTGTCATAGGAATAAACTGAATTGAATTGAATTAATGAGACCAGCACAGGAGTGATGTGTGCCAACATCCTCATCTTTGTCAGAAATGTGGCTACAGAGTAGTGATGTGTCGGTCGCGAACGAAGTGAACGACGGGAGCCGGCTTGTCGCTGGGAGCCGTCGCCCTCTCCCCTCTTGTTTTGATGAAAGCCACAGGCGATTGGTCGACGTGTGTAAATGCATGCCCAGACTGTCCACACACAGAGCAGTAGGGGCGAGGAAGAGGGAGGATAAGACTCAGACACACAGCAGAGCACATGCGGGCGGAGGGAGATGAGAGGGAATGAGGAGGAGGAAAAAGGCGAGTGACAGAGGAGAGTGTGATGAAGACGGTGAGAAAATGAGCGACAGCAGTCGGGAAGTGGAGATTTCTTTAAGTGTTCAGTTAATAAATCCATATAAATGATAAATACTTGATATATTGCATTTTTTTACATTAGTAAATCATTTTACATACAGTTTAGCATTGTTTTTGGTGATAAATGTACTTTACGCAACAGAAAATCTGAGGAGCCACTTGGGAGCCAAAAGAACCGGCTCTCTAAAAGGAGCCGGAATTCCCATCACTACAGAGTTCTGAACCAACTGTAGACGTCTCAGTGCTGCCTGACTCAGCCTAACATATAAAACACTACAATAGTCGAGCTTGGATAAAACAGATGCATGGAGCACAGACTCCATGTACGCTCGAGACAGCATGGGTTTGATTTTGGTTAGCCGTCGCAGGCCTAGTCAAAGTCCTGACCTGAATCCTATTGAGATGCTGTGGCATGACCTTAAAAAGGTGGTTCATGCTAGAAAACCCTCAAATAAAGCTGAATTACAACAATTCTGCAAAGATGAGTGGGCCAAATTTCCTCCAGAGCGCTGTAAAAGACTCGTAGCAAGTTATCTCAAACGCTTGGTTGCAGTTATTGCTGCTAAGGGAGGCCCAACCAGTTATTAGGATCAGGAGGCGATTACTTTTTCACACAGGGCAATGCAGGTTTGGATTTAGTTCTCTCCCTAAATAATAAAAAACCATGATTTCAAAACTGCATTTTGTGTTTACTTGTGTTATCTTTGACTAACGGTTAAATGTGTTTGATGATCAGAAACATTTTGTGTGACAAACATGCAAAAGAATAAGAAATCAGGAAGGGGCAAATAGTTTTTCACACCACTGTAGCTGCGAGCCACGACTTAACGTCATCCGAACAAGTCAGGAGATTAGAAACGGAGCCCTTTCCCCTGGGAACAGGAAAATGAACCTGGCAGTCAACTGCATACAGATGAAACTTAACACCATGACTGCACAGGAGAGCACCCAAGGAAGTAAATTAAGAGCAAAGACGAGTTGCCCCAGGACAGAACCTTGTGGTACACAGAGATGGGCCTATAATTTTCCAAAACAGCCTGACTTTTTCTATATCGGCTGTATCTGTCATGATCCCGCCATGCCCTGACCTCCATGCACCATCATTCATCTCATCAGCCTTCATGTATCACACCTGGTCCCCTCATCAAGCTCATGCCACTCACCTGCCTCACCAGCTATATATTCCACAGTCTACCACCAGCAATCGGCCAGATTATTGAAAGCTCATGCCAGTAAATTCTCCAGCACTCCAACCTCTGCCTGTACCATAGATCCTGACCTCGTTTCTGTTAGTCGACCAACCCACGTGCCTGCTCCCTGCCTGGATTGTTTCCTCTGTCTCTGACCACCTGGATTCTCGACCTTGGACCATTCTCTGGATTCTGCCTTCCGCCTGCCCCTTGTAGCATCCCTGGATCTCTCTGGTTTTGACCCACGCTTCCTCCTGACCCTGCCTCAGCGTCGCCCACCTCTGGTAACACCTAGTTGTGTTTTCTTTTTAATAAAGATATTAATAAGTCAAAGTCAGTTTTATTGTCAATTCTACCACATGTGCAAGACATACAGAGAAATGAAATTGAGTTTCAGTACACACAATTCAGAGATCAGACATACATGGGCAAGACACATGACAAGAATTGGTGACTGTGGTCCTTCGCAACATGAGTCGCGCTACCTTAAAAAGATGAAAAGGGAATTACATGAGGTTAAATTGGGGGAGGGAAAAAAAGGCATACCAGAGTTACTCCCGGCAAAAAAAAGCGCCTCAAACATATAAGCATGAACATCACAGTTCACAACATGAGACTCCGATAGGGAGGCGGGGGGGGAGGGGCTGGGATCCTGGTTCCCCAGCGGGAACAGCCCTGTGTGGCACTCTAGCCAGCTGTATCCACAGGAGGGAGGGAGATTGGAGGAGCGCAGAGCACATCTGAGTTTCCTGCAGATTGATGACCTCGCTAGGCAGAAGTCCACAATCTGAAGGCAGGGGGGTAGGATGGGTTTTCACAGCATCTGTCTGCATTCCTTCCTTCGTGGGGGTAGCTGTTAGCAGCTCAAGGCTGCCTTGGCGTCAGATTTGGATAACAAGACTGTGTTTGGGTCAGGCAGAGACAATTTTCCCCTCTGCCTGTTATTATACATCTCCACACCGTCCGGTGACCCTCTCCGAGATGACATCCATTTTGCGCACTAACACCGGTAACGCAGCTAAGACATTGTCCAGCTTACGATTCATCACAAACGTTATTAATTACCATTTTTTATACAGCCGAGAAACAAAAAGTGACACAACAGAAATAAACCAAATCCAACAAGTAGGTGAAGGCTCTGAGTCATCCATGGTGATCTAAAGGGGTTTGAATGAAGGCAACTGGACTTCTTTGGTTTCTTGAAGATGTTTTGCTTCTCATCATAATGAGCAAGATGGCACCGGTGTGCTTGGCTGGCCGTCTTCCTCTGCTTGTGTTTTTAATGCTTTGCTGTTTTATGTGCCATGTTGCAGACTCTCTGCTGGTGTATGATCGCCATACGCTTCTGGACTCTTGTTTTTCTGCTGGGAATACTTTTGATCAAGTTGGGCAGGATAACTTGCCACCACTGTTGGCTAGAATTCCAGCATACTTGTACCGTGCTCCAGTGCTTCCGCCCTGGAGGAGGCGTTAGTCAGGCCGGGGTAAACGCAGAGGGATGCGAGGTGGAAAGCTAACGAGGCTGAAGTTTGGGTGGCTACCTCTTCCCCGTGCAGCTGATGACGTATTCCTATCCAGGGATCTGAAGCGTTTGGTGGAGCCCCTTTGCTCCTGGCTGGTTCCTGTTAGTGGCTTCAGTTGTTTGGATTGCCATCGCTTCATTTATTCCATCTGTCCTCTGCAGCGTGGGAGTAATGCCGCCAATTTGCGGCTCCTTGGCCGAGCGTTGAGTCAGCCCGCCGCAACGCCGAGACTGGCCATTAAGTTTGGACTGGCTAACGCGAGGTCTCTATCGAACAAGACTTTTGTCATCAGGGATTTCTTCATGGACAAGGGTTTGGATGTTCTCTGTATTTTGGAGACCAGGATGTGAGACGTCCAGTCAGTGCCGTTGGGATTTTGTTAACTTTGTAAAACCTGCTGGTTCTCCCCAAGCCCCCACAATGCGGCTCAAAAATTGGAGCAATTCCGGAAGTACCAAAAATTGCAGTTCCACCCTCATCCACTAGGGGCTGGTGTCAGAAGCGAGCAAATCCTCATTGACTCCCATGTTAAAAATACCAATTTCACAGCAGAAATAAACATGTTTACAGCCTGGTACCAAAACATGTTTTTGGTTTAAATGATCTAGTTTACTCTCATGACAACTCTGAGGGTGTGATTTTTTTTCTCACTCTTCTGTTTAAGTGTATTAAAAGCCTAAAATTCTGTATAATTAATGAGCATCAGACCCACGTGACCACAGACCTAGCTCCGTGGAAAGGCCTCAGTAGAGCCTCGGTCTGGCCTGGAAACTGCTCCGGGATTTTGAGTCTCTCTGCATGTGTATTCTTTTTTGGATATTATTTGTGCAACTGTTGGACAAAATGACTTGCTGTGGCATTAATTGCACCAATAGAGCGTCCAGGGAGTCTCCACTTCATTTTTTTCAGTAAGTAAAATTATATTTATGTATTTTAGGTCACTGCCGAGCTGAGCTTAGATTTTAACATGTACTGTTTAACCATGAAATTTAAATGTAATAGGGTAAAACCCAGTGCATTTAACATAATGCTGCACTTTAGAAAATGGGTTGAAATATAACATGTTGGTGGAGCTGGGTTCCCACTATCGGCTTGTGGAGCTCTTCTCCCCTCTCCGCAGCTCGGCGCATCTCTGTCTGATCGCGGCTTCTGTCTGCTGCGCGGGCTGCCTGCTTGTGGAGCTCTGGGATGGAAACCTTTCCACCCGGTTCTCCCCAGCGGCAGCTCTGTGCATCTCAGATCGCAGCGGCGCTTGTCTGCTGTGCGGCTGCCGGCTTGTGGAGGTCTCGGAGACCTCTGTGTTCCACCCGGTTTTACCCAGCGGTCAGCCCGGCGTATCTCTGACTCAGAAGCTCTGGTGTTGTGCACAGTTAACTCCGGTTGTAGCTAGGTTGCTACCTCCAATAGCTTAGCTCCCACCTCCGCGTTAGCTTTGGGTTAGCTTCAGGTTAGCTTGTAGCTAGTTCGACCGGGTGTCGTCAGTCGATCCCAGCCTTACAGCCCCACCCTCAGCTCCACCTCTCTTCCCTTTTGTGGAATTGTCTGGGCTTGACGGAACCTGTGACACGGTCAAAATGGCGGTGGTGGTCACCTCCCATTTCCCCTCAAAAACGTGTTATTGGAGCCTATGGAAACCCATTGTCCAATATTTATATGTCGATGGTTCTCCCTTGAATTTGATGTCCCCTAGGCTTTTAAAAGAAGTTGTTTTTTTCAGTTGGTCCGTGGGTTCTTGCCATTATTAGTTTTTATAGACATTTTATTGGCAATTGATTCCAGAGACTTGTTATTTTGGTATTGTTGGACCTATCGGCTGCATTCAATACTGTGGATCATTTCCTCCTGATTTCTAGGTTGGAACATTTTGTGGGTGTTCGCGGGGTTGTGCTGGATTGGTTTGTGTCGTACCTGGCTGACAGAACCTTCAGTGTCTCATTGGGGAATGTTACTTCCTCTAATGCCTCATTCTCTTGCGGGGTTCCCCAGGGTTCTGTGTTGGGCCCATTATTGTTTTCTCTGTATCTGCTACATCTTGGTTCAATTTTTAAGGTGTCGTTTTCACTGCTATGCAGATGATACCCAGGTATACGTGCCTTTTAAGATGGGCCACAATAATTCTTTGCGATCTCTTTTAGATTGTCTCGTTTAGGTTAGGCAATGGATGTTCTCTAACTTGCTGTTTTTTAATGATAGAAAGTCAGAGGTTGTAGTTTTGGTCCAAGTACTTTGTCTAGGGTCGGTGTGGACCTCGGTCAACTCGCCCCATTCTTGAAACTGAGTGTGACTTCCCTGGGTGTTGCACTGGATGGGGATCTTGTCTTGGACAGGTAGATCAGTGCGGTGACTAAATCTAGTTTTTATCAATTCATCAATCTGGTTTTTTACCACCCTGCACAGTGTCTGAGGTTGGCTGATAGGATGCTTCTGGAAGTCCCAAAAACCAGCCGTGAGCTCAGAGGTGACAGGGCCTTCTCTGTAGTGGCCCCTAGGCTCTGGAGTGTGCTGCCTTTGAGCATTAGGTCGGCCTCATTACTGTTTGGTTTTAAATCTCTTTTTAAAACCTATTTTTATGATTTGGCTTTTAACTCAGCATGAGAGTCTTTTTAGTGTGTTTAGTGTTAGTTCTTAAGCTTTAGTCTTTACACATTTTTATGTTGTGTATTGTTTTTATTGTTTTTAATTTCTGTGAAGCACTTTGGTGGGGTTTATACCGCTGTAAGGTGTTATACAAATAAAGCTGCCTTGCCTCACCCGAGGAGCTTTGTCAAGTCTGACTGGAATATAGGAGGGTGTTACATACGCTCCCCTTTTTGGCCACTGGATGGCCTCAGCTGCTCCCTCTTCACCTGGCTTCATCCCCAGCTGTGCGTAATAGCTCATCAGAGCTCAGCTGTTGAAAGGCTCTCCCGAGCCTTCTGTCCAGGAGAAGGTACAGGGAAGTGTGGGCACGGAAGTGTTCAGGCGTCTCTCGTCTCCTCGTGTGCTTGGTTTGTTAGCTTAGTGGTACTTTCTGTGATTAGACTCTTGTTCGGATTGACTTTTGGGTAAACTTTGACTTTAAACCGGCCTTGGACTCCGAGTTTGGATTTTCCCCGAGCGTCTGTGCTTCCCAGGATGACTCTCGTTTTATTTAGGATTTTGTAAGAGTATTCCAGTTAATTAGTTCCCCTCCTCACAGCCCTTTTGGCCTGGCGCTTAACAGAGGGTCAAGCTTATAAGCTGTAGCTGTCTATTGTTGCTTAAGGAGCAGAAACTACCTATGAGTACCCCTCCTTACTACATCCTGAAGAGCCATTAGCTTCTATTGTGAGGGAGTCATGTTGATTAGATGCAGGAGAGTTCAACCAGATGGTGAACAGACTGAGATGGTTTTACGTTGGCATGACCTTTGGTCTTCTCTGTCTCAACAGGAAGAACATTGACCTTTTATCCTGGTCAGCTGTGCTTGGACTTCATGCTCAAAGTGACAGAAACTCTGCAGATGTTCAGACCCGACAAGTTGATCGCATAATCATCAACAAGCACTACAACAGAAGAACCAAGCAGGCTGATATTGCCATGATGCACCTGCAGCAGCCAGTCAACTTCACCCGTCAGTAACCAAGTGACACCTGTGCTATGTGGGGTCAAAGATCAAATTCCCATTATGACCATGACCCACTCTGTTTCAGAATGGGTACAGTCAGTGTGTTTACCAGCGGATGATCAGAATATCACAACAGGAAGGAAATGTTCAATCGCAGGCTGGGGGCGAGAGACTGAAGGAGGTGAGGCAAAACAAGCCTACTGTGAGACACACACCTGTCTATCTCACCCTACTCTTTAACCTGTCTTTCTCCCAGGTTCACTTCCTGACATTCTCCAGGAGGCCCAGGTTCCACTGGTGGCTCAGGAGCTATGTCAGGAACTGTTACCGGAGTACACAATCACCTCCAGCATGCTGTGTGCCGGATACCTTGAAGGGGGTGTGGACTCATGTCAGGTAAGTGTTCTCCTGTCTTAGACACAGCCGGCGTGTTGTCGTGTTTCTAAACAGCTTGGTACTGCTGTTAGGGCGACTCTGGTGGTCCACTGATGTGTCTTGAGGATGGACGCTGGACTGTAATTGGTCAGTTGCACACATGTGCACACAAGTCTACACACACACACACACACACTGGTCTGACGGTGGTAATTTCTAATTGGTACAGGTGTTACCTCCTTCGGGGTCGGCTGTGGGCGTCCTCAGAGACCTGGAGGCTACGCTCGAGTCTCTGCTTTTCTCTCCTGGATTGCCCAAACCAGACGCTCCTCCTCATCTTCATCGCTTCAAAATGAGTGAATCCATGAATAAAATGTGACAAAATAAGTTGTGAATACGTATAAAAAGCTTTAAATGATGCTTGTGTAGCAGATGTGGTTGATTGAAAACACTGAGCTCCTGTCTGAACCTTTTTGGACCATCAGGTTTGGTGGGTAGCTGCACATCTACACCTCCACATCAGTTCCTCCCATCCTAAATGAAAACACAGACAAGGGATTTTTGCTGTAGCATAGGAGCCACTGGAGGTGTGTGTGTGTGTGTGTGTGTGTGTGTGTGTGTGTGTGTGTGTGTGTGTGTGTGTGTGTGTGTGTGTGTGTGTGTGTGTGTGTGTGTGTGTGTGTGTGTGTGTGTGTGTGTGTGTGTGTGTGTGTGTGTGTGTGTGTGTTCGTGTTCGTGTGTGTTCGTGTGTGTTCGTGTGTGTTCGTGTGTGTTCGTGTTCGTGTGTGTGTGTGTGTGTGTTCGTGTTCGTGTGTGTGTGTGTGTGTGTGTGTGTGTGTGTGTGTGTGTGTGTGTGTGTGTGTTCGTGTGTGTTCGTGTGTGTTCGTGTGTGTTCGTGTTCGTGTGTGTTCGTGTGTGTGTTCGTGTGTGTTCGTGTGTGTTCGTGTTCGTGTGTGTGTGTGTGTGTTCGTGTTCGTGTGTGTGTGTGTGTGTGTGTTCGTGTTCGTGTTCGTGTGTGTGTGTGTGTGTTCGTGTTCGTGTTCGTGTGTGTGTGTGTGTTCGTGTTCGTGTTCGTGTTCGTGTGTGTGTGTGTGTTTGTGTGTGTGTGTTCGTGTTTGTGTGTGTGTGTGTGTGTGTTTGTGTGTGTGTGTGTGTGTTTGTGTGTGTGTGTTCGTGTTTGTGTGTGTGTGTGTGTTTGTGTGTGTGTGTTCGTGTTCGTGTTCTCCATCCCCAGTGAGTCGTGGAGGATGGCTGCTTATACTGAGCCAGGATTCTCTGGAGGTTTCTTCCTGTTAAAAGGGAGTTTTCCTCTCCACTATCGCTGCATGCTTGCTTAGTATGAGGATTGCTGTAAAGACACTAGTCAGTGACTCGATGCAACCTGCTGGGTTCCTTATATAGGAAACTTGTTACTGATTGGCTTAATGACCTGTACTGGAATGTTTACTGTGTGAAGGCCCTTGAGACGACTCTGGTCCTGATTTGGCGTTTTATAAATAAACTTGAATTAAATTGAACAACAAAAGTTTAAAAGATGAATCAAAGAAGCAGTTGAGATAAGGAGGCGTGGATCCAGGACCATGAATGGGGATGGAGTCTACACGCTGGACAGTTCATGGTACACGATGATCAGCGAAGAGGGCACGGGCAGCAGAGGGCGACATCGTCCTCTGCTGACTGCTGATGAAAGGAAGTCATGCCACCAACATCCGACGGTGACCCTCACGAAGACGGCAGTGACACTGAAACATGTCGGCAAAGTTAAACATAAACCCTCATCACACAACGAAGAACTAAAGAAAACAAAATGGAGATTTGTCCAGTAAATTTACAAAATTATATCTATCAGACAGGTAGGATTTAAACCAGCTTAGCGCTGTTCCTTTGATCCCTACAACATGTTCAAGTCTTTCTACAAGAACATTGTGATCAACTGTGTCAAAGACAACACTGAGATCTAACAAGACTAGAACAGACTCAAGATTCTTATCTGAGGCCATGAGAATATCATTTGTAACTTTCACTAATGCAGTTTCAGTGCTGTGATACTCTCTAAAACCAGACTGAAATTCCTCAAACAGAGCATTGGTGTTTAAATGCTGACATACTTGGATGGCCACTATTTTCTCCAGGACTTTGGATAAAAATGGAAGGTTAGATATTGGTCTATAATTCATTGGGTCATCTGGATCCAGAGAAGGCTTCTTAAGTGAAGGTTTGATTACAGCAACCTTAAAATCTTGTGGTACATACCCATTTACTAAGGATAGATTGATTATATCTAGAATGGGGGCAGTAACCAAAGGAAATGCTTCTTTAAATAATTTGGTTGGGATTGGATCAAAAATGCAAGTTGAAGGTTTAGATGAAGCCAATATTTTTGATAACTCTGAAAGCTCAACTGGATCAAAACGGTTCAAGCACAGATGAGGTTCTACAGTCACCTCTGATGCTGCCTCACTTACTGAGGAAGAAGAAATCACATTAGGGAGGATGCTAAAGATTTTGTTTCTAATAGAATTAATTTTACTCGTGAAAAATCCCATAAAGTCATTGCTGCTGAGGGCTAAGGGAATAGATGGCTCAGAGCTATGATTCTGTGTAAGTTTGGCAACTGTACTGAAAATAAATTTAGGATTATTCTTATTATCCTCAAATAGCGATGGAAAAATATGTAGCACCACCAAATGATACCTGAGCACAGCCGTGTCTGCAGCTCACAGCTCCCCCAGGCCAAATGTGGAGAACCCAGGGGCACACCACATGTATTTTCTTGGGCCTTGAAGCAGCAGGTATCTAAACGTAACATAAGAGTTCTGTCTGTGATTGAAATGTGTCGGTCGTAAATGAAACGGCTCTTAAAGCCAGCTCGTTGATGTGACCGATTAGAGTCGGCTTCCCCTTGGAGGAGCAGGACTGACAAACAGACTACCTGCAGGTCCCCGAGCTGCTGATGAATGGCTGAATGTCTGCACATGGCGTGCACACACACCGTGGGCCTCTGATGACCGTCAGACCGGGAAAGGATGGGTGGGGGTTGCAGCACACCTCCGATCAGTGAAAGCAGGGTGAGGGATGGCACGCACAAAATATCTGGATTATGACATCATTCCTAAGCAACCCACAAAGTCTTAAAGGGACACAGCCCCATTATGTCTGTTACAACTGCATAAAGGTGAGGAGAAGGTTGAAAACAGGTCAGGCAGCAAGGTTTGGACACATTTTGACTACAGTGACATTTAAAAGGCAGAATGTGGAATATGCAACAGGACAGTTTAATAGTTCAAAGTTAATAAATATTTAACTTAGAGTTTGTTTTTGTCATTTAAAATGTGTTTTTGTAGCTTTCTGCTTCATGTTGAAGAAATGAAGTTATGTAAATAATAAACAGCTGATATAACGTATATTGTAGATTAGCTTACATGCTGTTTGCATCATTTCTGGCGATAAATTAATTTAAGAAACAAAAACTATGAGGAGCCATTTGAGAGCCAAAAGATCTGATTCATTTTAGTGAGCCGAGCCGTAAGAACTGGTTCTCAAAAAGTCAGTTCCCATCCCTGGTCTGTGAGATGAGAAGTAACCCATATATGGACAGCACCAGAGAGTCCGGTGTGTTTGAACCGGGTCAAAAGAATGTTGTGTATCAAAGGCAGTGCTTAGATCCAGTAGCACCAGAACCATCAGGTACGTCATGTAAAAGGGCTGGTGATGTGGTTCACTCTAAAACCAGACGGAAAGTTGTCGAGGCCATCGTGTACATGGATAACATCATCAGCTGGATTAGTAGTTGAGTTGGTTAGACACCCGTCTGGGACTGTTCTATGACATCCAGGGACGACCAGTGTTGGGAGTAACGCGGTACAAAAGTAATTAATTACTGTAATGCATTGCTTTTTGCTTTAATGTGGTAATGTAAGGCATTACAGGGAAAGAAAATGGTAATATTTACTCGGTACAATTGTCAGTAACGCGGTAATTACAACGCATTTTTAAACCCAGAATCAAGATGCGGGTTTCCTAAAAATTCAATTTGCGGGAAGCCAGAAAAAAGATCCAGTATCCACATACATTACGTCATTTATGGATTCAGCTTTGCGGGCATTCTATGAGCAGAGAGGACGCAGCGGTAACGGCTCGAATACTCCAGCTGCGTCCTGCGCGCGGCCGCTGTTATATTCACAAAATCGCTCCACCAAAACCAAGTCATTCGTTTACGATCGTTTATATCAGCCCATATTCTCTGGTACTTCATGTACTTTTCAGCTGAGTTCATAATCTGTGCCCCGGTGATTTCAACTCATTGCTGCTGGAGCGCAGCGCATATTAAGCGTTTTATTTAGTTATTTATTTATTTGCGTTCGGTAGATCCCTTTGGCTGATTAGTTAGAAAGTAGGAAATCTAGGGAACACTTTTTCTGGAAGACGGAGGAAACATGCAGCATGCAGGAAGGTTAGAGAGAGAAAGGGCCGGAAATTATTCAAATAAAATCAAGAAAACAAAACAAAGTGCTTGAAAAGAAAAAAGTAGGTAGATTTATCCCCAATACACATTTTTACCAGTGAAAAGCAATAATATATAAGCATTTAATATTTATACATGTGATAGAATCAGATCACCCCAGAAGTCAGTCCCACATCCAGGGCCGTATCAAGGCATTTGGGGACCAAGGCAAATATAGGGTTGGAGCCCCCACCACCTCACTCCCTGCCATGGATGTAATTTTCACTTTAGAAGTGGGGAGACACAGGGTGGGGGGTGGGGTGTGTGTGTGTGGGGGGGGGGGGGGGGGGTATCTTTACAGTATGCTCTAATGGGAAACAGGCCCCAACACAAACGGTTGTTTTCCACTTGGTCCTAGAGCTAAACCAGTGTCAATTTAATATAGCGTAATATTGTTTTTGGATGGTAAAAAGTGTAGGGGTCAAAACTTGACTTTGGAAAAAGTGCGGGGGACATGCCCCCCCCCCCCAAAAAAAAACATTACGCCCATGCTCCCTGCTCAGATGGCCCTATAAGATGGCTGCATGCTGAGAGTACAGATTGTTGTTGCTTTTATTTAATAAACAATCATTTTAAAGCACTGTTATTATATCTGACTGTTTTTAACAGCAATCCTAGCTCAGACACCACATCACCTTCCACATATATGTCATGAGCTCACTGAGCGTCACATGACCAGACTCATATTGAAGTTGTTTTGGTGAAAGTAACTTAAAGTAATGCAAAAGTAGTGTAATGCCTTACATTTTAAAATCAGTAATATTGTAATGTAATGAATTACTTTAAAATGAGGGTAACAAGTAATAAATAATGCATTACAGTTTGAAGTAACTTGCCCAACACTGGAGACGACAGAACTGGACCTGGTGCTGCAGGTTCAGCGACTCTCCAGCAGGTGGCGCCATCTCTTTGAGCTGCTGCAGCATTTCTTTTCTCCTCAGTTGCACCTTTTGGATCTTTTCCAGACTCAACTTCAGATCCAGACACTAAGCTCAGCAGAACCAACTGTTTGGTTCAGAAGCTCTGATGTCAGTTTGTTCTGATCAGTATCTGAGTTTCTGCAGAATCACAGCACTTCTCACTCACACACACACACACACACACACACACACACGCACACACACACGGGTATTCAGAGGGAGGAGATAATGACAGAGTGGAGGAGTTTCTGCTCTGCTACTCAGTCTGAATTTGTCTCACAGGACGTCTCCGTCTGTCCTTCGGTCTCCCGTCATGAAGCTACCTGGTTCTGGACCACTGATCCTCCTGTTTCTGCTCCACATCAAATCTTTGCTCACCATTTCCATCAGCAGACACTCAGGTCAGATTTACAGCTTTTCTAGTCTCACTCGCTCTTCTGCTGTGGTGGATCAGTCCTCCAGTCTCTGACCTCTGCACACGCTAGCTCTGAGTGTTCAACTCTTCAGAAACGTGAGTCTTTATGACTTTCAGATGTTTGGAGAATGTGAACTGTTTGAATCCAAGTTTTCGCTGGGCCCTCCCAGGCTCTGTGTGTGTGTGTGTGTGCGTGCGTGCGTGCGTGCGTGCGTGTGTGTGTGTGTGTGTGTGTGTGTGTGTGTGTGTGTGTGTGTGCCTGCTTGTCCTGTGACTGGATGGGTCAGAACAGCTTGTGTAGTCATAGATCAGTGAGTAGACCAGAAGTAGGTCTTGAAGGATTCAGGGGGTTCCTGGAGAAACACACACACACACACACACACACACACACATGCAGAAACACAGAAAAAAATAACATTTGAAATAACCAACAAGAGAAAACATTTTGCTGGTCTGGGAGGGGGCGGAGCCTATCACAGGTAAGCACGATCAGAGAACACACTGTGCTCAGTTAGAAACAAGGAACCTCATCATGATAAAAATAAAGTGATGTGGTGGAACAGAGGCAGACTGAAGGTTAACAACACATAAATACATCACTGAAACGGTACCAACTATGACCAGAACCACGTGATCCGTTCCCACTAAGGCTGCAGACAGATGGTTCAACCATTCATCTTTAGGTTCCAGTTCTTCTTAAAGTTTAAAGTGTAAAAATGAACCCGTCTGGTTGGTAGAAGCATCAGTCCTCTTTGATTGTGATTTGGGGACTGATCTCATCTGGACCCAGAGACCTCTTACACAAACTGAAACTGTCTCTGTGTCTCTCAGATGCTCTCCAGCAGGTTCTGTCGGAGTTCAGTATCACTCGTCCCATCAGAACCGACTCAAAGGGGCGTTTTCTGTCAGCATCACTGTCCACCCAGCACCGCGGACGCAGAAAGAGACACACCACGTCATCAAACCTGCCTACTGACTCGAACAATGTCAGGACTCAAACAGGCATGCCTTCATTACACCAGGATCTGCCTTCTTCACTTTCATCCAGCAACAGTTGGAAGGGGCGGGGTCCAGAGGCAGAAGATGAAGCGCAGCTTTTCTACAACGTGACAGTGTTTGGTCAACAGCTCCATCTAAGGCTCTGGCCCAACTCCCGCCTCATTGCCCCCACTGCAACCATGGACTGGGAGGAGTCAGGACAATTCTACTCTGAACCAATCCGAAACAACCACTGCTTCTACACTGGAACAGTGGCAAATATGGAGGACACGTCTGTCGCCATCAGCAGCTGTGACGGGCTGGTAGGTGTCAGCTGACCTGAAAGGTTTCATCACACAAGTGCCTTAGACCGGTCTGGTCGATGCAGATTAGAGTAATGATGGGTTACATTTGCTCTCTCACTGATTGATCTCTTTGTGGTGGTACAAGTCACCAAGAACTAGAGGACTTAAGCAGGGTCAGTAGTGGGTGACCTGGGTGAGAAGAGTCAGCTACAATATTCCGGGCTCTATTCCGGCATCTGGAGCTGCCAGTGCTCTCCAAGGTGGGCAGGGAGCAACCAATGATCTTGTCTTCTGATCTGATGACCCCCTGCTGAGCAGGCAGCAAACCACGTGGTGACGGAGTACACCAGCACTGGCTCAATGGTGGCCCTGTAGAATAGAATAGAATAGAATAGAATAGAATAGCCTTTATTGTCGTTGTACAGGGTACAGCAAAATTGGAGGGCCACTCCCTTTGGTGCTAAATGTAAAAGAATACAGGAAAATAAATCAATAATATTATAAATGTAAAACCAACAGTAAGATGTACAAACGCACAGAGCAGCAGCATTAGTTGGTTTAGTGCAGGTCGCTACTGTAAGCAGAGTTTTAGCATAGTGAATAACACAATAGCACGTATACATGCCAGTGCACATGATCAGTATTGAACAGTACGTGTGTGATTCGGGTTAGTGGGTTCACCTGGTTCTGTGGTTGTTTACTACGGTGACGGCTCTGGGAAAGTAGTTATCCCTGAGTCTATTTGTCCTGGTTTTACATGACCGGCACCGTCAGCCTGGCAGTACCGGTCACACAGCTGGGTACTGAGGTGAAAGTAGTCCTTGATGATATTGCCGGCTCTACTGAGGTAGGGAGGGTGGGCAATGTCCTCCAGGCTGGGCAGAGAGCAGCCAGTGATCTTCTGAGCTGTGCTGTTGACCCTTTGCAGCACTTTCCTGTCTGCAGCTGATTACCTGCATACCTTGTTGTGGTGCCATATACTAGGATGCTCTCTAAGGTGGCTCTGTAGACCGTGACCAGCAGCCTGTCCTCCAGGTCGTTCCTGCTCAGGAAGTGGAGACGCTGCTGGGCCTGTTTTGCCACCATAGGATTTGCAGTCCAGGAGAGATCATCAGAGATCTGCACACCCAGAAACCTCATGGAGTGTACCCTCTCCACACAGTCCCCGTAGAGAAGGGCCGGGTCAGCGCTGCCTTTCCTGAAATCCAAGATAACTTCTTTAGTTTTTGTGGTTTTCAGTTGGAGGTTGTTTACACACCACGCGGTCAGTCTGTCAACCTCATCTCTGTAGTCGGGACGGGCGCACGCAACGCCGTCCTACCTAGGGCTCTCCGACAGGCTCACAAGGACGGACGGAGTCAAGCTCTCTTTTCTAAACATCCGTCCGTCAAGACCATCGACATATTTACTGGACAATGGGTTTCCATAGGCTCCAATTATAAGTTTTTGTGCCAAAATGGGAGGTGGCCACCACCGCCATTTTGACCGTGTCACAGGTTCCGTCAAGCCCAGACAATTCGAAAAAAGGGAAGAGAGGTGGAGCTGAGGGTGGGATCGTTAGGCTGGGATCAACTGACGACACCCGTCGAACTGAAGCGATGTACCTACAAGCTAACCCAAAGCTAACGCGGAGGTGGGAGCTAAGCTAGCGGAGATAGCAACCTAGCTACAACCAGAGTTAACTGTGCACAACACCAGAGCTTCTGAGTCAGAGATACGCCGGGCTGACCGCTGGGTAAAACCGGGTGGAACACAGCGGTCTCCCGAGAGCTCCACAAGCCGGCAGCCGCACTGCAGACAGAAGCCACTGCGATCTGAGATGCGCCAAGCTGCCACCGGGGAGGGGACCATACCGATAGTCGGAACCCAGCTCCACCCATTTTCAGAAATGCTGCGTTATGTTAAATTCACTATTAAATTTAAACTTCATGGTTAAACAGTACATGATAAAATCTAAGCTCAGCTAGTGCAAGAGCGGCAGTGACCTAAAATACATAAATATAATTTTACTTACCGATAAAATGAAGTGGAGACTCCTTGGAAGCTCTATTAGTCCAATTGATGCCACAGCAAGTCATTTTGTCCAAAAATTGCACAAATAATATCCAAACAAGAATACACAAACGCTACAACTAACGGTCTAAGTTGAGAGACTGAAAATAGCGGAACAGTTTCCAGGCCAGGCCGAGGCTCTACTGAGGCCTTTCCACGGAGCTAGCTCTGTGGTCACGTGGGTCTGATGCTCATTAATTATACAGAATTTTAGGCTTTTAATACACTTAAACAGAAGAGTGAGAAAAAATTCACCCCCCTCAGAGTTGTCATGAGTGTAAACTAGATCATTTAAACCAAAAACATGTTCTGGTACCAGGCTGTAAACATGTTTATTTCTGCTGTGAAAATGGTATTTTTAACATGGGAGTCAATGAGGATTTGCTCGCTTCTGACACCAGCCCCTAGTGGATGAGGGTGGAACTGCAATTTTTTTCACTCCCTGTTTGGCTTCATTTCCAGACCCGAATTATGGGGGCTTGGTCGAGACAGAGAACTCAAGCTCGTGATTGGTCAGGATGCCGCTGTCATCTACACCACCGCCATCGCACCGTCAAAAGCGTAAAGAGAGCCAAGGATATCTAGCGGCAGACACGGAGCAGAGTGAAGAATACCTCGCAGAAAAACTGTAATGTGAACATTTTATTCCCCGTGACTGGAGGAGTGAAAAGATGCTAAGGCAAGCATTTTATTCGTGGGCGGAAATGACGGGAAACGTGAGTTTAGAGGTGGCGAGCGCATGAGGAGGTGGAGGAGAATGAGGGACAAATTAGTCCGTGTTATAAAGTCTCTTAAACACATAAAAACCCAATATAAACACACCATAATGGACCGGATACATGACAGGAGACCACAGAACAGCGCTACGCCCTCTGGTGTCTTGACGGGGAATTGCTGTGCAACGCTCCCCAGGAGACGGAGTATGAATTAGGCTTAAGCGTGATGGTGCTGGGAAGGTGGGGGCCGAGTCTGACATTCTGTGGTCTATTCGTCAGAAAGTCTTTAACCCAGAGGCAGACGGGGTGGAGAGTCCCAGGTGAGGCAGTTTCTCGACCAGGATCCCTGGGATTATGTAACTGAATGATGAGCTGAAATCCAGGAAGTGCGTTCTCACATAACTTTCTTGGTGCTCCAGATGACTCAGCGCAGTGTACAGCGCTATGGAGATGATGTCCTCAGTGGATCAGTTTGCCCTGTAGGCAACTTGGTGAGGGTCAGGAGTAGAGGGCAGACAGGCCCTGATGTGCTGACGGGCCAGCCTCTCGCAGGACTTCATGTTTATGTTTATGTTTATGTTTATTTAGCAGACGCTTTTATCCAAAGCGACGTACAGTTTATAACCTGCAGGGCATGTTGTGATCAGTGGGGGAAACCGGAGTACCCGGAGGAAACCCACGCATGCATGGGGAGAACACGCAACTCCACGCAGAAAGGCAGCAGCCGAGTTTCGAACCTGCAACCTTCGTGCCGCGAGGCAACAGTGCTAACCACTGCGCCACCATGCAACTTCATGACTACAGGCGTAAGTGCAGATGCCCTGAAGATGTTTAGGCTGTCCACTGCTGTCGTCTTGGCGATGGGGATGATGGCGGAGGTTTTGAGGCAGGGCGGTACGGTGTTGAGTGTCAAGGACGGAATATTTTAGTGAAGACCCCAGACGGTTGGTCAGCACATGCTCTGACAACCTTTCCACGTATTCCGTCAGGGCCTGCCGCCTTCCTGGGGTTCACTGACCTCAGAACACATCTCACTTTATGCATCTGAAGTGTCAGCTGGGGGCAGGTGGAGGTGGTCGGACCGCTGATGGCCTGTTTGCAGGCGAAGAAATGGTTTAGATACTCAGCCAGCGAGGCGTCAGTCCTAGATGTCGCCTGGTTACTACTCCTAGGGTCCTAGTCAGCAAAGTGATCCTCGACCTTCCTCCTATAGGCTGCCTTGGCTTTCCTGATACCTCTGCTCAGGTCGGCGCTAGCCGCCCTGTACACTGCCCTGTCCCTGACTTGAAGGCAGTGTTGCAGCTTATCAGGAGGGATTGCACTTTGCTATTTATCCAGGGTTTTTGGTTTGGAAACACCTTAACCCTTTTGTTGACGTTGACATTGTCAACACAGTTCCGGATGTAGGAGAGTACGGTGGTCGTATACTCATCACTATTTGGGTCATGCCGGTGTAGCGTGCGGCCTGCTAGCTCGACTGCAGCATCAGGAATCAGCAGGTGAAGCCACGACTCTGTGATCAGAATAATGCTGCGGTTCGGTACAAAGCTCGCGGAGGCCATCTGTAGCTCCAGTCTGTGGGTGATGGAGCTGACGTCTGACAGAGAAAGGCTCCGTAGTGCTGGCTGGTGGAATTGTTTGTATAGTCTAGCATCTGAGCCCGACCAGCATCCCCTCTTTTTTCCCAATCAATTCACCTTTACTGTCGTTGCAATTTCTATAATGAAGTTTATTGTACTCCGTGGATGATCTTAGGTCCTCACTCATGCCATTAAAATGAATAAAAAACGATCAAAAATGGATCAAGCGTTTGCACAGACATCCCCCCTTAGATCATTAGAGGCTCACGTCATCAGATTCAGTTTCGTAGTTGCTCTGGGCACAAAGCTGTTTCTCAATGTCGATCGACAGCTTTGACAGCTCTGCAGTGCCGTCCAGATGGTAACAAAGAGAAGAAACAAGTGCGAGGGTGGGACACATCTCCCAGGATGTACGTTGCTCTGTATAGGCAGCGAGTTCTAAAAATGTCCTCCAGGTGTGGCGGCGGCACTCCGACTATCTTTTGGGCTGTGTATTAACTCTTTGGAGACTCTTCCGATCTGCCTGTGTACAGCTGGAGTACCATGATGTGAGACAGTAAGTCAGGATGCTCTCCATGCAGCAGTGATGAAAAAGCTTTCAATAGCTCTGCTGCCAGCCCACGTTCCTTAATGTTCTCAGGAGAGAGTAGAGTCTCTGTTGGACCTTTCTAACTAGGGCAGTGGACTTAATGGTCCATGTAAGGTCATCAGTGATGGATGTCCCCAGTAGCTTAACACTGGAAACTTTCTCCACTTCCTCTCCTTTAATTTCCATGATACTTCCTCTCGGGTGTAGGAAGTATTAGTCTCGCCAAACTTCTTATTCGCGTTCAAAAACAAAATGAACACTAATATTCGTACATTCACAGAGAACTGAGCCGCTGCGTCCTTCCGCGCCACCATCATCATCAAAGATGACGCTTTCTCTCCCTCCGGCGCCTGCTGCACTTGCTGGGCAGGCAGACCATCCTCGTGTTCGCTGATAGTCGCCAGAAACAGACAAACTGTGTCTGGAACCTAGGTCAAAAGACGCCAGCAGCCTCTTCGTGAGATGGTTCCCGTGCAACCCTCACAGGAAAGAAAGTCTCTGCCAAGCTTCTTTCAACAGTGCTAAGGTGTTTGTTTTCCACCACAGGTCCTCTTAAAGCTTTGTCCCCAGGAACCTGAACGAGCCTACCCATGTGCCCTTAATGAACAGAGGAACACCTCTACCCTTCCACAATCCTTTCTTTGGTCTTCATTATTTTGAAAGCCCGATTGTTCAGGATGCACCAGTAGCTCAACAGGTTGAGCGGGTTGTCCAGTAATCGGAAGGTTGCAGGTTCGATCCCGGCTCAGGACAGAGAATTCGGCCTGTGTTCGGCAGCCTCGCCTCTGTCAGTACTGCCCCAGGGCAGCTGTGGCTTCATCGTAGCTCATCCCCATCAGTGTGTGTGTGTGTGTGTGTGTGTGTGTGTGTGTATGAATGGATGAACACTACCCATAGGTTATCTCATCACCCCCATGATTAACCCACCACCATGGTAGAGGCTGAGGGCACCAACAGTGTAGAAGGTGTACAAACGGGGACTCGGCACCCTGTGGGGAGTCTGTGCATGGTCTCGGAGTGGATGAGTAGCATTCACTAAACTTAACTACTGCAGGTGATTGGTTAAGAAAGTCTTTATTTCTAGAGCACATGAGGGGGGTAAAATTCAGCTCTGTTGTCTTCTACCACACACACACACACACACACACAGGGAGGGTGGTGTTAAATCCTGAGCTGTAATCCCCAAATAACAGTCTGGCGTCCGGATGCTCTAACGATAACAATGAAGGGCGGTGGAGATGGTGTCCTCGGGCAGTGGGTCACCCTATAGGCAAATTGGTGCACATCAAACTTTTTGGGAGGCATAACTTAAGGTGTTGAAAATGAGGCTCTCAGAGCGCTTCGTCACCACAGATGTCAGGGCCTCTGGCCATTGAACTCCATCAAAGTGGACTTTGTTGCCACTTGGGATGTTGTAGCTGCTTTTAAACAGGAGGGAACCACAGCCCTGGGCCGGCGAGGTGCTAAAGAGCCGAGTCAGGACACCCACCACTTGGTTGAAGATTGATCTATGGATCAATAATGGATCATGGAGGTTAAACAGATGAAGGTCAGATTCTTGTGTCTCCAGGCAGGAATGATCCGGATGGGGGGAGATGAGTTTTTCATTGAACCGTGGGACCAGTGGAGCCCAGGAGAGCAGCAGCAAGAAGAAGGAGGACAAAAGCACATCGTTTACCGTTCCTCAGCCATCATCAAAAAAAAATCTGCTGTCAGTCAGACGGAAACCTTCAATCAAACCACAAAAGATTTTGTCCGAGGTAAGATGACATGATAATGAGGCCTGACGTACCCACAGGTCTGGTCTACCGGGGAGACATTTGGATGCAAGGTTAAACGTTTCTATCACATCTGTGTGTGTGTGTGTGTGTGTGTGTGTGTGTGTGTGTGTGTGTGTGTGTGTGTGTGTGTGTGTGTGTGTGTGTGTGTGTGTGTGTGTGTGTGTGTGTGTGTGTGTGTGTGTGTGTGTGTGTGTGTGTGTGTGTGTGTGTGTGTGTGTGTGTGTGTGTGTGTGTGTGTGTGTGTGTGTGTGTGTGTGTGTGTGTGTGTGTGTGTGTGTGTGTGTGTTCTTGTACATAGTAGCTACTGAGGACCATTTTCACCATATTCCCTACAAAGTGAGGACATTTTTCTGGTCCTCACTTTTTTTTTACAAGCTTAGTGGTTGGTTTTAGAGGTTTAGTGTGAATTAAGTTTCAGTGAAGGTTAAGGTT